GTGGTTAACTTCTATGTTCATTCTTTCTGCCTTCTTTCTGACATAAGGTAACCTTCAGGCACTATTAGTAGAACTAAGTGAATAAACTAATGAGCATACTGTATATAGTTAAATTTCCCAGCTGCCACAAGTGTTTCAGAAGGTACTTAGCAGAATTCTTGCTGGAAGTCCTGTCTTTAGTATGTTTGAGAATTTACAAAGAAAATATTAACATCATTCCAAAGCCATTTTGGTGCATTATGACACTGTTCTCCTTTTTATGCAAAGAAATAATTGCATGTTTGGTTGACTGTAGGTTTCAGATACTTTTACCTCCGAAGAGTTTGTAAACAGGGCTGAGGAAACTGGGGGGGGCAGGGAGTGGGGAGAGCTCCAGTATCACAAGTGGCTGCAAAGACCTGGATCCCAAAGCTACCAACACCAAAAAGTTGCCTTTGATAAAGGGCTACGTTCACCATTCTCCTAGACATTGGAAGACGGCTGGGATTTACTGCTCTGATTTCAGACATCAGCAAGCCAGTGATGGGCTGCTATATTGATTTTTATAATGAATACAAAATGCTCTTCTCTTAAATACATTGTGCGTGTATACACAAATATATAAATGAATTATTTTTTTAAAGCCAATGATAAATTGTCAGTGTTAAGAATGATTCTAACATTGCCACCCACAGTCTTTTATTGTTTGGAAATCTCTCTTCAGAAATAGCTTGTGAGAAACAGCTGTTTGCATTCTGGAAACTCTAAGTGAAATGTTGTTCTGGTTTAATAAAATAACTTTATATTTAAAAAAATGATTTTATTTCTAATTTCTGCTTAAAGAGCTAAAGGGAAAGTGTCAAATTCTGCACCATAGTTCTAGCCAAATGTGACCCACATTGTTAGAACCTGGGGGATAATGGGCTTTGTGATTATATTTATATATAAAATAGCATGTCACCAAAATATTAAAGATAAAACATCTACCTACTGACCACCATCACTTGCTGCTGTTTTGACAGGACCTACAAAAAAGTAACATGTTGTGAATTCTTCCTTACTGTAGTTCTATGGGTAACTTTTTTGAAATTTCCTCTCACCTCCATATCCCTAGGGCATCTGCAGGCAATCACAAACAGTGGTGGAATCTATGCAGTTATCCTGAGTGCCACAAGACGGGCTCTGGTTGCTTGAAGGGAGTCCCAAAATTGGAGGTGGGATGGATGGAAGCAGAGGTCAGGATGAACCTGTTCTCCCATTTAGCAGAAGTGTAAATTGGGACTAGCGTCACTGAAATCACAGGAGTTGCACCGTTATAGAATGGATGCATCTTGGATCAGAATCAGGCCCTGGGCGTACACATGGCAGATGTCATTCAGTAACTTTTAGGCCTGACTTTTTTTTTTTTTCCCTCATAATGGTACAAATCAGGAGTAACTCCCTCAAAGTCAGTGGAGTTACACTGGTGTGGGAGGAGACTCCTGTTTGAAGTGCAAACGCGTCTCTTGTTCAGACATTGCAGGTTCACAACTTCCTCAGCGCTGTCGATATGAGCTGTTCCAATTTCACACATCGTTTTCCCCATTATGCTCAAAGAAAGAGACATGTCACTGCCAGAAGTGACAGTGTTATTACTGGGCACTGGGCTGTGATTTTTCTGGCATGTAGTCCAAAAACAATGTTTTGTTTGGTGTTTTTTCCCTTCTGAGCTGTGCAGAATTAATCAGAGCTGTGAGGCAAAGCTGAACTTGGAACTGTTCCCTCTGCGGCCAGTTAGATCCTAGTGTCAGCTCACTTTTGGAGGCCTGCTTTTGCAAGGGTCTTCCACCACTATGTGTCCGTGTCAGAGTTTCACTTGCACTTCCCATTGAAGTCAGTGGGAGCTCTGTGGGCCCAGCATCTCTGAAAGCCAGGATGTTACTGAATAATATGATGTGCTTGTTCTTTCAGCATAATTGGTGATGGCAGCTGACATGTAGGGTGACTAGCATACTTCCCTATGCTGAATACGCGACACCTGGTAAAATTACTTGTACTCAAGCGAGTTCAACAGCAATCAATCAGAACTGTGTAGTACAAACGTTCAGATTAACATCATGTTGACTGAGCCCCCTTTAAAAAGCAATACAGCGTAGTTGGATTCTTTATCATCTCCTTATCTTTAAGGCTTTAGGGTTCACACTAGGGATATAAATACCATTTTAAAAGTTAACCGTTTAAACGATTAAAAATGTCATTTAAAGCATTAACCGATTGAGCAACTGGGGCTGACCCCACTGGCGGGGCGGGGGCCAATCCTGCCGGCATGGCTGGGCCTCTCCAGCTGGGGCTGGGGCTGCTTCTCCCTCCTGCAGAGGGCTGCTGAGGCTAGTGCAGGGTTAAGGGTTAAGGTGGGTTAACCAGTAAGACTGTTGCTAACCGGTTAACCTTTTACATCCCTAGTTCACATGGGGAGAGACGATACATACACCCTTTCCCCCCACACACAAGGGGAGAGGTGACACACACACACACACTCTCTCTCTCTCTCTCTC